ATAGTTTTTAGTTATGATTTAATAAGTAGTTTTATTATTTTTACTAGTTGAATTCATGAGTCTAGAGGTTAAGTGCTCTCACGCGAGATTGATAGGTCTTGGGTTCGAATCTCGTGAGGCGGAATCGTGGATGCGCACTCCTAAGGAGTCCCGTACTACGATCAAACGGCTGTCCAGTGTTTCCAGATTTTCCATAGTTGTCTAGCTTCAATTGACTCATGAATTCAACTATTAAAATCACTATAATATCCACAAAATTACATTTCTAGAAGTATTTTATTAATTTATACAAACTGGCACTTATATAGAATGTACTTGATTTGTACTGTAATAGAAACATCAACAATGAAATACAGTTATCTAATGCAGTATTGCTGTCTGAAAAAAAGGAATCATAATAGGCAAGCATTATTATCCTACATTATTTCAAGTATAGCTGACATTAAATCAGTATATATGTATATAAAGTCTCGGGTGGTCAAGCTGAAACGGTTGTATCTCTCTATGAACTTGTTGACTTTTAGATGTGCCTACGTTAGTAGTTGAAGACTACTTCGTTGAGGTTCATGCGGTTATCACTATCAGTAGCTGTAGACTCTAGATGACATGGCTCGGAATTACTCGCATTGACGTAGATGCGTTCACTACTTATCTTTTTTACGGTTTTGAATTCTAGTATTCCTTTATACATATCTCTCCACTCACTTCTTTTGAACTATTGTCTTAACTCTTAATCTTTCCTATTACTATTGTTACTACATTAGTTCGAACTGTTTCACCATTCCATCTTGTTGATTTGATCTCGTCGTACTAATGTGTGGTATTGGAATTTGGACTAACCCACATTTGTATCAGACTCTATGGTGATAATAACTAATGATGCATTTGTGAAAGCTTTAGGGAATACTAAATTAAGTAAATTTTGGTTCATTCTACAATGTTTGTTATTGTTGGTTAATAAATGTACAAATTAATTTATTTGACTTTAAGTCATAAATATGATGCTACTGTTTTACATCAGAAAATTCTTGATTAAAATTTGGTTAGACATATTGATGTAAATTAGAAAAAAGAGACACAATTATGGCAGAATTACAAATTCGTTCATATAGTTGTCCTTTCATAACCTATTTGTACAAATATTGTGATAGAGGAAACTGGAAAAAGCATAGAAACAAATGGAAAACTGATGTTGTGAGTTATATAATTACTTACTTAATTACTTTGCCTGTTTTTCCTTTTGGAGCATAGATTACCGACCAATAGTCTCTGAGCAACATCATCTTAGATTTCCTTTCCAGTCGTTCCTAAATGCTATTCATTCTTGTGATGTTTACCTTCAATTTCCAGTGTAATACGTTCTGTTGTCTATCTCCAGATTTTAGCTAAAATATTGGTCAACCTAATCGCTAAAACTGGACCACCATCCTTAAAGACCTATGGAACCAATCCATCTAGACCAGCTGCCCTTCCTTGTTTCAAATTAACTATAGCCTTTTGAACTTCTGCTAGAGTTGGGGGACCTGCTTCAATGTTTCATTCACACTGTCTGGGAATGGAGGGTAGTTGTAGAGTAGCTGAAGGCCAGCTGAACTGTTCTCTGAAATGTTCCGCCCATTTTTCTAAACGTCTGGACTGGGAGCAGATGAGAGTATCGTCTTTTTCCTAAATAGTCTGACTTACACTTGACTTATTAATTCCAGTCCCTTTTATTAGTCTGTAGAGCTGTCTTGTGTTCCCTATAGTCGCCGCCTTTTCCATCTCTTTTGCTTTCGTTGCCCACCACTGCTCACGGTCGTTTCTTAGACTTTTTCTTAACCTAGATCTGATTTGTTTACTCTCTTCATCGTGTTCAGAATCTGATGGGATGAGTTTACGAGAATCCACGACGTGCAATGCTAACTAGTGTTGGGGATGGTTGGAAGAAAGTTAGGGGCGGCCAAACAAAACGTAGCATCAGTGCTTGAAGTCACTAACCTCTAGTCTTAGCCATGTCGGTAGATGCAGACTACTAGGTTGGGGTCCGCGTGACTGTCGTAACCAGTAGTTGGAGACTAGGTGAAATGGCTCGCAATCGACCACAGTGGTGTAGGTGAATACACTCTTTTTCTTTTCACAAACTAAGAGATTAAAATCGCTTCATATCTTTCTCCGTACTAAGTCTTTCTTCTTATACTATATCCTTATATGCAATCTTTCTCCTATATATTACCACCTTTGACCTAACCACTCTTATGAATCCGGTGTTCATCTTGCTGTGGTAACGAGGTATGGCAACTTGGACCGATGCACATATGTGCCTGGTCCTACGTTGTAGCTGACTGACTGATCCCAAGTTAGGACTTGCGCTAGCTTAACTACAAAACTATTGATTACCTGAGTAACGTTCAGGTAGGTAAGAAGTAAAGATGAAGTAACACGAATTCATAACTAAAAGCATGGAAAAATATGCTAGGCAACCAATGACTTAAACTGTCATCGTGGGAAAACAAAACTACAACATTTTATTTGATTTACAAATTAGTTGACTTACCCAAAGTGTCAACTTTTCTTAATGTATGAGTAGCTTGGAATTTGGATATGTTTTTTTTTCAATTTAACCTTTATTCTTCCGTTTCTAGAATTCTGTTTCAATACACTACTGATTTATTTTCTAGAATATTCGTTTAGTCGACCTATTGTAAATCGGTGGGTTTAAATTCCACAGAGAAAGGATCATTTTACAAAAGATTGCACATACTCATTACTAGCGAACACAACTTATGTTCAACAATGATGTACGGTAGCACAATTTTATTTGATTGAAGTTAGACATTAACACTGATTGATGCCGATTCAGTGGTCTAGAGGTTAAGCGTTCGCCCACGAGACCGATAGGTCCTAGGTTCGAATCTCGCGAGGCGGGATAGTGGATGTGGACTCCTAAGGAGTCCCACAGTAGAACAAAACCGCCGTCCAATGTTTTCACGTTTTCCATGGTTGTCTAGCTTCAATTGACTTATGAATTCAACTATTAAATTACTATATTACTCTATCTTAATTCATTTTACTAGTAATAGAACTAATACTTGGAAACAAGATTGACACAATAAATAACACTTAGATTTTTTTGAGGATAGTTTTTTTCTTGAAAATTTACAATTTCATTTATATGATCATTAAATAACCCACTACGCCATTAAAGGAAAATAAAGAGTTATTCAATGAAGAAAGTTTTCTTTTCAACGCAATCATTTACTTAATCTGTACGTTTGTATTTATAGTCGTGTGGTAAATATATATCTATAGAAGGATCTTGAGTGCTGTTAGAGATATAAGAGCAGCCATCACTTCCCGGCTGCCCATACCGTGGAAGGGTTCTTCCGAGGGCACCTGAAAAAGGGAATCGGGTTAAAGGTGGTCTTAGAGACCCGAGAGTGTGACCGCAGTAGCCAAGGGATAACTGCTTGAGATCGGTCACACACGACGTTTTTTTAATTTTCGTGTTAGCTCCGTACGCGTTGAGACCTTACCGCCGGAGATAAAAATCGGTGGGATAAGGCGAGGTGCACATTTTTAAGGTCGACCTTATCTAACCCACCCCACCTTGTGGGAAGGCAACGTCGTTGTTATGCTGGTTGTCTGAAGGAAACACCTTACTGCCATCACACCTCTGTACAGTCGGCAATACGACTTCGCCTTCGGACCTTGGGTTTGTTGCTTTTAGTCTTAGCGCTCTTCAAATGATCTGTCTGGCATGGTAGGACCTTGAGGAACGATAGTTTCAACCAGTATAGCTTGATTGGTTCATCATAATGAACAAGCCCGACCACACTACGTCAAGGTAGCAACAACGGTCCTTCTATAGAAGGATAGAAGAGATTGCATCATAAATTGATTTTAGACTCTTATTATCAAATGGGGTTGCATAATAATCAAGGGCTAAGAAAAGAATATAAGGATGAAAATAATTTATGTGTTAGAATTATGTAAGATAATTGTTATTCAATTATTATTATTATGACCTTTAGGTGTTTTTATTTTCCTTCATATCTGTCAAGTGGACAATTATCTTTCATAATTTTGATTTGTCATTTGTTATTTTCATCCTTTTATATCTCTTTAACCAGCTGGATTTGTTATAACTGAATTAAGAAGACTTTATTATGTGAACTATTTTCTCTTAAAAATTACTTATACAAGAGCCGGACTTATCAACAGGTTTACTTTATTATTAAGTTAATCAATAGAAATGTGTGCTCTCTAGTTGTGTTGAGAAATTGTAACTGGTAGATTCCAGAAATGTTGAAAGTGAGACATTTACCACTGTTACCATTACATGATGGTTGCACTATATCTCACACTATAGACTGATTAGAGAAGCGAAAAGATATTGTTATTGACTTAATTTCTACTTGGCATTTTCTAGTTGACTAATAATGGTTTTCCAACTAAATGATACATTACTTGGTTTAGCCACATCAGTGTGTATTTGCTTCAATTCATCTGCTTTTGCGGAGAAATTTATATTGAGCATACCATCAGACAAATTACCCAACGAGTTAACAAGCATTTCTCTTCGCGATTTGAAAAGAGTCAAACAAACTCAGTGCATAGCTTCATTCTATCACATTGAATCGATATTTATTATGTAATTAGATAGAATAAAACCATTCAGAATGATTTATCAAGTACTTTTGCATCATGGGAAATGTTTAATGTATCATCGTTCAACCGAAATTAAGAATGTGAGTCATTGAATATCAACTTACATGGTTTAATGGTGATGTGATAACTGTTAAGCTCATAGGTTTTGAATTCCATTACCAGTAAAATCGAGAGGAAACAGGTATCCAGTATCCTTTAATTTGCCATGGTATCTAAACGAAAAACTTACTCATAAACAAGAATTATTGTGTTTAAATCTCTAACTCTTTTGTTTCAAAATATAATTATTCGATACTGTTCAGTATTTAGAAAAAGTATAGTTTATAAATTTCCTTTTACAAAATGCATTTTAGGCACATCTTGAAAGTGTAAGAGACATTGATCAAACAAGTGTTTTACCAAATCATACAATTTCACCAAATAGTCAATTGTTTGAAGAAAACAGAGATTTTAATCAATTATCACAATCACAAAAATATAGTGAAGACGAGGCAGCTACCATAATTCAATCTAGATATCGAGGTCATCTTCAACGAGAACGTTTTCATAGTACTACAAAAATAAAACGAATATTCATTAATAATGATGATTCAAACGATGATATTGTAACTGAAAACAACGTAGTTATTGATCAAACTTCCAATCCATCACATCATCATCGTTATTCAGATTCTGTACAATCTCCAATAGAATCAAAAGAAATAGATATTGAAGAAAAAGTTACTGGTAAAGAATTATTAAATAACAATAAAATCGAAGAAAATTTCCGGATATCTGACGACGAAATCTCACCTCTTCAAGAAGGAAAGAATTTAGAATCTGACAAACAAATAACAAACGATTATTTTATTGAAGATTCTAACGAAAACACAACTGAAGATATAAGCATTGCAAATAATACTGAATCAGAAGTGAGGATTCCTTTTTTAATTATATCAATTGTTCATGTTTTATAATTTGACAAAATTTATTATATTTAGATTGTGGTTTAAAAAAAATGTGATCCAACATCTTTCCTTTTGTCATAAGTGTGACTAGTCAGTTGATGGATGTTTGTACATCTTAATGTTAATGTTTGAGTTGAATGAAGTATTAACCGAATCTTTTGATGGAGTTTTGTTCTCTGAGCTGTATGGTTTGGTCGTGGAGCTTTCATCGTTCTTCTGAACGACATCATCAGCACAAACTTCAGAAGTTTGTGCTCCACGACCAAACCATCCAGCTCAGAGAATCATCCATCTGAGCTACAAATCTTCCCCACTATCTCATTAACCGAACCATTAAGTTTGAATAGTTACTAACTTGTTCAATGGATATGAAGTATTTTGTAAATGTTTATATTTTCTCATTGATGATATACAGAACTGCATTTTATCGCTCTATAATTTCTTATATGAACATTAAAAGGATATTTTGATGTTACCAAATGTATTAAATAGTTTTGAATAGTGTTTGAACTCATAAAATAACCCATAGGACAAAAATGTAACACCTAGTAACTACCTACACTGAAGGTATTCCATGGAAGTAAAATGTGTATTCAGGTCATATATGCGATCAGGCTGAAGTTTGAATTTATTCTATTACATTACTGACTGATATTGTGAACCATGTAGATTATTCGGTTCTAATTCATGAAATAATCATTAATGACTGTTGGTTACATTGGATAAATTGGCTTTAAACTTTTCACTTACTCATTTTATTTATTCATTTTGACCTACTTTTTTCGAACTTTTTCATTTTATAGTTTTCCTGTTTGTTACATTTTTGTGGCCCCGAGATCTGACTCCAATTATATCATATAAATAATTGTTGTTAAAATATACATCCTGGCTATCCTCGTCCATAGAGCTAGTGAATAACGGAATTAAAATAAGTCAAATACAAAAATGGATTTTTGAATACATATATTTTGTACACTATTGATCTGGATAAATGATCAAAGGAACGAAGCGAATAAAGCGAAGTGAAAAGAACAAAGCGAAATGACTCGCGGTGGAGGCATATGGACCAACTCACTTTAATCAAGCGTTCATCGATATTTATAGTCGGATAGAAATAAGTTGCAGATATGTGATGAATAGGATAAACAATGCACACACATATGCTCACATAAAAACAATCAAAGTTGATAGGCGAATAATTGATGACGTCAAAATATAACTCAAGAAGGATAAATAAATTGGCCCGTCCAGAAGCTAGAATAAGCTGTATGGGCTTGCATAACAACCAACAGTACAATATTGAAGTGACGTTCAATAATTTTGAGAATAATATGTATTATACAAAATAAAAGTTGATAGTAAAAAAATGATTATGTGTAATAATCTAAAATGTGATGATTGATCATTAACAAAGGTTGCCTATCTTAGTTTTATCTCAGAATTAATCGGAATAGATGTATTTACTCTTATCTTACACTCGTTTATGAATTTCAGTATTGCTGTACCTTTCCATTCTGCCATTTTAGACCATATCCTCTCTCCCTTTCTCTCTCTCTCTGTGTGTGTGCTATTTTGTTACTACTACATCATTTCAATCTCTTTAACTAATTACCTGGTAATTTGATCTCGTCATGTTTACAATGGTATGACTTTATGTTGCCGAAAAATGATTAACCATTTTCTTTTCTGTTTTCTCTATAATATTGGATGGAACAAAATAGCGTAATAATGCCCATATATAAACTGAATTTATAATTAGTCTTCCAATATGTTTGTATAAATTGTGGTGAGAATATAATTTATGGAAGAACCAATCAGATTTACGATAATAGGTCTTAGATTTTGGAGCGAAATTCATTCACTCACATGGTTAAATAGAGTTTTGGCATTATAGTTGATGTTTTATAATCCTCATTTAGCCTTAGTAAGCAGGTAGACACTTTCAAGGTCACTTTGACGTCGCTCAAGTGTCGTCCATAAATTAGGGTCTTACAGAAATTTCAACTCATTCTAATCACTGTTTCAATGTAGAAATGTCATTATTCTAATTAGTTATGGAAACATTTGAATTTTGTTAAATTCACAAGAAGATTAATGTGATTCAATCTCTTTACATTGTAAGTCTCAACAACTGTTACACTTCTATCATCATTCTATCTTTTCATAAAGCTTTTCTTAATTATACTTTACTTACTTCAGCTTATTCCCCCTCATGGAGGAATATAGTCCCTCCCCGTCAACCAGGATTCTCTATCAAACTCTATTCTAGAAAATTCTTTTCTTTCTTAATTATGATGAGAAATAAATCATTAGTATACTCAAAAACATATGCTCAAAAGAGCTATATACCTATAAAAATGACATAGACATTTCAGTTATAAAAACTTAATCTTCTTCAATAATCATTCTTGACCTAAATTTCTATGATATATCATTGTAACATTTTCAATATTTTATTATGTCATCCATTCCCTAATTATGTCATTTAGTTATTTCAAATATAATGGGAACATTTAAAGATTGTTTCAATACTTTTTTTTTAAAAAGATATAAATAATTAGCAGGTCAAATGAAATGTCCTACTTTCTCATATCATAGAAATTGTTTGTTCAATCTAATATCAAAAGTCATTCAACAATAAATGACTTACTTTCTTCTGGTTAGCGTCTTTTTACCGGGTTAGTTTTCTACGGGATGGGGTCGCTAACCTCATGCACAATCCTCCTCCTTTTATTGAGGGCCTGGGACCGGTAGTAGCTCCAGAGGGTCTCCAGGTGAACAATTGGACAATACTAAATAGTTAACATTCATTACAAGAGATTCAAATAATCTTGAAGGATGCTGTTATTGCTAACATTATTATTATTATTTTTATTCTTACTAAATATGTCATAACCTGTACTTCTAGTGATTTTTCTGTTTGCTGACACTATAATTTACAGACTACATTTGAGCGGCGCTAATGTGACCTTGAGAGTGTCTACCTACTTACTAGAGTTGAATGAGGGTTATAAAACTGTGTGAAGAATTAGAATAATGATTCACAGTTAATGATTAAGGTTAGAAATCCGATTTAGGGTTTTCATCATGAACTGACATCAACTATAATGCCAAAACTCTATTTAGCCAAATGGTTGAATGAATTTCGCTCCAAAATCTAAGACCTGTTATTGTAAACCTGATTGGTTCGTCCATAAATTATAGTCTCGCCTTGTGTTTCTGTAATGGAAAAGTGTTGCATATTAGAGTATATACGTATCAATACTTAGGTTAGGCTTGATAGTTTTAGTTAAATTGAGTGTTGAATAGGAAGTTAATGATAAATATACTTTTTGTTATATCGCAATGAGTAGAAAAATTATATTTCTGAGATTTCGTGACTTGGTGTGAGTCACTTCTTCAGAGTAAATAAATAACCGATTTAAATTAACACAAGTTTAAATAGTACAAAGGAAACAATGCAGAATATTTTTAGTAAAATCAAAATCATAAGTCCTGACATTGGCTTATTCAGACCTATTATGATTTTGATTTTACTTAAAATATTCTATATTGTTTCCCTTGTACTATTTAAACCTGTGTTAATTATTTCGTTTATTTACTTACTCTGAAGAAGTGACTTATATTAAGTAGCGAAACATCAGAAATACGATTCTTCTATCCATTGGGATGTTTTAATAGTTGAATTCATGACTCGATCTAAGCTAGACCACAGTGGAAAACCTTGTAGCACTGGACGGCCGTTTCGCCTGCTGTGAGGCTCCTCAGCAGTGCGCATCCACGATCCCTCTCGCACGATTCGAACCCGGGACCTATCAGACTCGCGCGTGGACGCTTAGCCTCTAAATCACTGAGCCGGCATCGAACGGTGTAAATTTCTAACCTTAACCAATGAACGAAGATATTCAAAAGAACTGCTCAACTAGTGTCTATATTATACATTGAATTAGTCAATTAAGGGGTTTGGTCAATTCATTGTTTCCTTCTTTATTCAACATTATCGATAATTTGGTTTATTCAATTTATTTATTAGTGATAACAGTGGAAAAGGTTAAATAAACAAACATAATAAGTAAAGAGTACAGATTGTTAGTGTGACGACATATGTACTAGTTGTGATAGGAATAATAAAGGCTTGAATCAATGTCACATAATGAGAGATAGGTCAATGATTAGAAAAATACGGACACTGAAATTACATTCATAAAAAACTATAAGATTACCCAATAAGAATGAAGTGTATCTTTAGGGAAAATAATAGGTTGGAAGTGATGAAGATACTACTAATAACTCATAAAATATGTTATTTCTTTTTGGTCATAAACCTTATAAATCAGAAGGGATATTTTTGTGGATATTATTGTAATTTTATTAGTTGAAATCATAAGTCATTTGAAGCTAGACCACCATAGAAAACCTGGAAACACTGGACGGCCGTCCTGTCTTACTGTGAGACTCCTCATCAGTGCAGTAGGACTAAACAATCCTCCAGTACTTCCAGGTTTTCCATAGTGGTCTAACTTCAATTGACTCATGATCTCAACCATAAAAAAACCTTATATATGTTAATTGTTCAATAACTAATTAATTACTCACATTTTCTATTTATTTATTTCATTTCTTTTACAGTAGTTATTGAATCAGTAATCATTGTCTTGTAAAACAAGAGTACATTTTATTGTTTTGTTTTTATTTTCTCAAAAAAACCCACAATAAGATCTACAATTATCTATCATGAGTAGTAACGAAGAGATTGATATTGATTTAAATGATCCAGAAGTACAAAAAGCTGCATTAAAAATTCAACATCAATTCAAAGGTTTCAAAATTGCTAAAAAATCTGTCAAAGTGAAAAAGTTAGTTATGGTTCATGAATGACGACGATGAGCATGAGGATGATGAAGATGATAATTAGCATTTATGTCATGTTATATCTGAATATTACATCATTTGATATATAATTG